GATCTTATTATAATGTACCCAAAGACCTATTCCATCTACTTAAGGGGAACTATACCTTATTGTTATATAGATTGTTCTTGTTAATGTTGTTATTCGTAGTATTCTTGGTGTTCTCATTAGTAGGTTTATCCGTGTTGTTATTAGTAGCTCGCGCTATTATTCGTAGTATTTCTCATACTGCTATAGTCTTCATATTGATGACAGATTACAGGCAGCTTAGGTCTATAGAGTGTCAGAATGCCCAAAATGTTTCTCAGGGCATCGTGAAAGGCCTCCGCAAAACGGAGAAGGTTTATAAGTTCATGTGTGCCCTCACAATGACACATCTTTCACGCCCTGCCGCCTTATGTTTCGATGCTGTGGACATAAACCCGCAATCCCTATGGCCTTTGGATTTTGCAAGATGCTCAGGAATATGTTGATGGCTTGTTTTCTTGATCTTGGGTTCGCCAGCTCGCACTGCTGTTTCGACTGCAGGATCTGCTTGGCTTCGCCTTACGCCACAAAGCCCGCTTATCCAGTCTCAATGTGCCCCTAGGTGGCATGGGTAAGGCTCGCTCAGGCTTTGATTCTCCTTGTCATCGTAGCCTGCCAATCGTATTGCTGAGGCTTGTCGGGACACACCTGAAACAAACTCGTTGCTCTTCGATGCATTTGACGAAATTCGCGCCGGCCGTCAGGCCCTCAATGAATTGCAGCATTGCAACATTAGTCTTGCTTTACATTTGTCATGCTGCGCCAGAGCCTGTAACAGCTGCTACAAGCAACTAGGGATTGAGGTGCTGATGTGTAGTAGCACCGGGAGGCCGCACAAGCTTTGGCATTTTCCAGTGTGATGCGCTCGCGTATGAGCCAGGCGCTTGGAATAAAGAAGACGGATAGGAAGCATGATTCTGCATGAGACAGACTTATACTATGACGAAGCTTGGTTGGGCAAACCCGCGGAAGATGCAGATCCGCCAGAAGCTGGGAGAAGCTGCAAGGTTCTGAGCAAAGTTGGATATGGCGCTTTTTTTGAGGGCTCAGGGCTTAGGGCCACAGGGCTAAGGAGCACCAACAGAGGTTTGAATTTTTAAGCAAAGGCTCAGTTCATACCAGGCTTTTTGATTGACTGGAGATTTAAAGGCTGGGGCTTGCACTGTGCAGTGGTCTTGTGGCCCATAGAAGAGATGCCTCTCCCAGGCCAGACTATACCGACCCGATGAACTTGCTGGACGAGACGTGTTTGTGTGGTTCTTGTGATTTAAACCTGAGGCTCTGCTTTTGAGCACGCCTTAGTGGCAGTAGACTCATACCATGCTAACAGGCCGAGCAACCGGGCCAAATGTCAGCCATGCACCTAAAACATGCTACCAGGACTTGGTGACTCACACAAGCCCTCAAGGCTGCGTCCCGTGGGCAGCCTAGTTCCAGCCTGGCCACAAGAAATTCCAAGGCCTTGTAACGCATGCTGTGATATGATGTGACAGGCCGTGCTTGGCTCGTACTTTAAAGCTTTCAAAAAGCCACAATACATGCCCAATAAATGTAGCAGCGGGCATGCAACGCAGCCGATTAAATTGGTCTTGCATTTGGCCTGCAAGGCATCAATCCTGCATCAAATGAAGGAGCTTTCCCCTTCAAGCCAAGTCTGCGTTGAGCTGTTTAATTGTATTGTACTTGTCGCCCTGTCGCCGCTCAGCAATGGAATGTGACGAAGACGACAAATGGTGTCGAGAATTGAGCGCATTTGCCTGAGATACAGTGGTCCATCAGACATTTGAACAGATGTCAGTGGCATCGTTACTATGGCATGAAGAATGAGTACTTGGATGTGTAAGTACTTGGTGGCGGGCGCATAGGTCGCTATGCTTTTTCAGGTTTCTGAGCCTCTTGAAGGTTTTTTTCAGGTGTTGTTCGGCTGGTGTTTGGCGGGGGTGTCAGGGTGGGGGGGATAAGAACGTCATTCATATTCCGTCCATACAACATACTGCGCAAGGATGTGGAACAAGGAAAGCTGTCACAAGCGTCCATGCCTTTGGCGACCATGCCCAAAACACTGGTATTTACAGCGTTCATGTTTCTCTACGGGTTGGGGGTTGCGGACTCCGGGTTAACACACTTTATCTCCGAAACCGAAACACAATGTAACAAAGAGTTAAATATTCTCCTTAATGCAATCGTTTCCTGGATGTCCAACTACCATGCTTTTCCTCCAAATCGCACTAAAACCCAGGTGTCGTGCCACTTTCACGTATAGAAAGCCACAGGGCGACCCATGCGCCGCACCCAAGTAGTTATAGCGTCATGGTGGACTTGGTGATGTAAGGACTTGGTGAGGTCAACAATCAAAGGAGCGGACCACAAAGAGGGGCCAGCCAAACTGACAGAACCACGGCTGCATCAATGATTTGTGAGGAAAAGCAGGCTCTCCGACTTGCATGCACTCAGGATTGGGGCTTGTTCATTGGAGGCATTCGAGAAGCTGAAGATCTGGAGTCTCTGTGCATCCAGGGAATAAGTGCAGTGGTAAATGCAGCGCCTGACGTTGTCCACGCAGCTTGACTGCAGCAAGGTGAATATTCGGGACTTTTTTTGAAGTTCCCATGCTGGCACACTGGATGGATATTTGTGAGCCTGAAGATGTCCCGAGATGGCAACTGGATGAACCAAACCTAGATATTTACAAGCTTAAGCAATGTTGACCGTAGGCTGCACGCGGCTCTGAGGTCGCATATCCAGAGGACTGGAAGGTCCTTCAAGTGGAGGCAGAGGATGATGCTGGTTACCCTTTGCGCCTGGGCTCGACCAGTAAGTTAGCTTCCCACTTACTCCACTTCCACAGCTGCTTGATAATGAGAGATTCAGTTTCCTCTAGTGGGAGGACAGCTTGAACACAGGAGTGTTTGTGCAGGGGTTTTCCAGAGAGGCAAGATCGTCCCCCTTTGGTAGTTTAGCTGGGGTCCTGTCGCCAGTGCTGCACTCATTAATCGTGCACGTGTCCAAGGCTGGATACGCATTTGGAATCCGTATCAGGGCCCTTCGGCAAGCAGCTTCTGCCGTAAGGGAACCTTTCGTCCTGTTCACATGGGCTTTCCTGCGCAAGCAGCTTGTCCTCAAGATGCCTGCGGATAGGTTTCTGAACGAACAGCGGGCCCAAAGAGTCCTGGCTTGCAACGTGCACAGCTGATGGAGCCTCATTTTCGCTGAGTGGGAAGTCTGTATAGTCTCGCAGCCAAGGAAGGTCTGTTCTTTTGCATTGTTTTGCTGGGATGAATCGAAGTGCGGCTCTTTGCGCTGCTTACCTCTTGGCTAACGAGCCTCGAGCTGCATCTTTGATCTGAAATTCTCAGCGCAGACCTCTTCTAGATGTGTCCTGATGCCGGTGTCTCTGTCTGCGTTGGCAAGTCATACCCACCAAGAGTGTCAGCATGCTTCTGTGAATTTTCGGCCTTCAGGTCTAGGCTTAGGCAGTGCTTCGTCCCACCCACTGAAACTGTGGGCGGGCTTCGTTGCACACCATGGCGGTGGCTTCATCTGCCTCCAGAGGAGGCCTGCCGAAGCAGACCAGCGGCACTGCCGTCTCCAAAGGCAAAGCATCGACATCTACCAAGATTGAAGCCACTGCATCAAGGACAAGGAATACCAGTGGTGGTGATAGCGGCGTGACGGGAGGGGGTCGCATGCTCATATATTGTGATGGGAAGAACGTCACACCCAAGAGCTTAGTGCCATCCCATTACCAAAAGCTCGGAGGGGCTGATCAGACCAACCTGGATTCCATTGGAATCTTGGGAACTTCTCCTTCAGCCTTGCCAACACACGAAGAGGAGAAGGTGGTGCCAGACAAGCCGCCACCAACAGCCGCGGAGATCAAAGCCAAAGCGCCAAAGCAAGCCACGTTATCCAAGGACGAATTGGAGCGCCCGATTGACATTGTGCTCAGTGAGACACAGACTGAGACGCTTTTGGTGTTTCCATCGCTCTGTGTATCTCTGGACAATCCTCAGTCTGGATCCGTCGCTTCTCGAAACAAGGCCTACGAGGAGCTGTGTGCTTCAAAAGCAGACAGTGACCAGTACAAGGAGCAGCATGCGCAGACCATGAACCAGCCTCACAAAAGCAAGGAGGTGTTTGCAGCAGCTCCCAACACAGAGCATGCCGAAGTGAATGTGACAGGCTGGGACATTTATGATGCCTTTGCCACGGCACCTGTGCCGAAGCATGAGCAAATTCAGCAGGCATGCGAGAAGGAGTCCCAAGCTGCTGTCAGTGTGGCGGTGAAGAAGCCCGGCTGCTTGTTCACCATGCAGGAGCCTTATCCCGTCTCCGAGCTGCCCAAGGAGGTCAAGCAGAAAACCGGGGGTGATGGCGGCAGGCGCGGCATTCGAAATGCTCCCAATGCTTCAGGGACTCTTCGAGCTGGAATCTCGGCTGGGCCGTCCGCACTTGCCGGAGGTGTGACTGCGGAGACTCAGCATGGCTACCCCTCTGCAGCCCAAACGGATCCTTTGGCACCAGGTGACACTCTGCCAGGGCAGGATGAAGCAGAAGCTGTTTTGAGGGAGGAGCCCGAGGCGGGTGACAAGATTCCTTGGCAGGTCGGCGCAGAGAATCCAATCCCAGACGAGATGGCAAAATCTTTGCGTGTGATGGAGCGCATTGTTTCGCAGAATGTTTTCCACAGACAGCACATGATTTACAGAAACTATCCTACACTTGATGAGCTTGCAAGACTAGATGAGATTCGAATGGAGGAGGCCATGGGCACAGCAGGCACATCTGGCTTTGGGGATGTCTCTGTAGCAGAGGATGCGCCAGTTGCCGAGCCTGCTCCAGTTGGAGCTGGCCTTGAGGTGGATACAGGTGATGCAGGTGAGGACGGAGCAGATGAGTTGGCGGAGGATGCGATTCCTGAGGAGAAGGATGCCGATAAGCCAGCATTGCAAGATTTATTTTGCTTCGATGCCCCGCAGCTGACCCAGGGCATGACAGTGACCTGTGCGGAGTGGAACAGCAACAACAAAGACTTGCTGGCAGTCTCCTATGGCGACACCGCCCCGGTCCCCATCAATCCTGGTGGTCTCGTGCTGTTTTGGTCCTTGAAGAATCCCACCTACCCCGAACGGGTGATTCGAACACGACACGGCGTTACAGCCTTGCACTTCTCATCGATTCACCCCAACATGGTAGCTGCAGGTACCCATGATGGCTCCGTCATGATTTGGGATCTGCGCCGGCCATCAGACACCCCGGTGCTTCGAAGTGGATCGTCCGTCTCGTCGCACAACGACCAGAAGCATACCGACATCGTTTGGGAGACACGTTGGGTTGACCAAGGCCCAGACAAGCAGCCCCCAGAGTTACTTGTTTCAGTTAGCAGTGATGGCAACGTGCTTCAGTGGTCTTTGAAGAAAGGCCTTGAACAAATGTTGCTGATGCCCCTCAAGCGCATCGCAAACCCGTACTTGGGCGCAAACTGCGTTTACAAGCACAAAGAGGGAATTGTGTTCAGGAAAAGCAGCGGATTCTGCATAGACTTCCCACGGCATGATCCCTCCACCTATCTGGTTGGTACAGAGGATGGCTTGGTGCACCGATGTTCAACCTCCTACAATGAGCAGTACTTGGACACATACTACGGCCATTCTGGACCTGTGTACAGGGTCAGATGCAACCCATTCATGTCTCACGCCTTTCTGACGTGCTCGGCAGATTGGACCATGAAGCTGTGGACCACCAAGCCGCCTCCGGGACATCCTCCAGAAACACCGCTCCTCACATTCCAGTCCACAGACCTCTATGCCTCAGTGAACGATGTCATATGGGCCCCGCAGAACTCCACATCCTTTGCGGCGGCCATGGACGATGGACGCATCGAACTGTGGGATTTAGCTGAAAAGCCGCTTGACCCCATTGTCGTGCATTACCCCCAGGAAGACAAGCCTCAAAGGAGACGAACATGTGTTCGCTTCTCCCCAAACTCGCCTGTGCTTGTGGCTGGCGACGACCAGGGCAGTGTGGATGTAATGCGAATGTACAACACAAACCAGGCCTATTACTCGGACCAAGAGCAGCAGGATCGCTTGAGCGCAGTAATGGTCAAGAAGCGGTAGGTTGAGAGCCTTTGCGTTTGGGAGTTCGCTCTTCAGACAATACTGATGTTGCCGCTCATCTGCCATCAATCGCATCGTCCGGCTTTCTAGGAATCATGTCAAAGGCTCCTTGATGCTTCAGAAGTTTCACCCGCACTGAATCCAAGAGCATGCATTTGGAATGAAAGGCTCGCAAGCTTTCCTGGCTAGGCCAAGGTCTTTCCCGCCCATGCGTGTCTCAAAGCAAGCAGTGAGCAAGGGCTTCCAGACTCTGCTTCAGTTCGCTTTGGCTGTTCAGGACCGTATGGATTTGTTCACTGTGGTGAAGCTCATCAGTGAGCGACGTGGCTGGATCCTGAGCAACGATGGCTTCGTTCGACAGCTGGTGCACCCAGGCTTGACTGAGGCCTTGATGAATCTTCAGAGCTTCGCAATACATTCAAAGGCGAAACCCTGCGCCCGCCGCTCCTTGACCAAGGCAGCTTGCCCGATCAGAAGAACTTCTGAAGCCAGCTGCGCGTCCGCAACTGGACGTCGTGCATGAGGACTGCGACAAGCCAACAAAGCCGAGCTGTGACTGGGCCGCATGAAACGCTGAGAACATGCGAGCTGTCATGTGAAAGTTGGCTTTCACATTTGTGGAAACCGTAAGCCTGCAATGCTTGAGCTAGAAGTCACGCTTTGCCAGTTCGGGAGCAGGCGCAAACAAAAGGGCGGCCTCAGAGCATTGCCATGTGGCTCAGCGGCATCTCAAGTGATGCATGCTGACGTAGGTACGCCAATGAATGTATCAGCAAGCACGGCTGAATAAAGTTTCCTGCGAACTCTTGTTGTATGAATTGAGGCATCAAAGCTTGGCCGCTCTTTATCGAGGATGTCATCCTTTTCTTCAGGCGACTGCACAGGTTGCTGAAGGCTGGTAGCTCATCAGAGGCAAGCTTGAGTTGGAATCCAGCCTGGTCTCATCTTAAGCCCCAAGCCCTTAACCCCTAGACCCAGGACTGTTCTGTAAGAGCCTCTCTCACTGCGTGTGCAGATGCAGCTGGAGAAGCTGCAGCAACACTGCAGCGGACTGCCGCCCAAGCACCTTCAGCTGCACAGCCTGGAGAGAGTAGCACATGTGTTCCGTAGCAGACGCAAATCTCTCAATCCCTGAGCTTCTCACAAGGACGGCCGGCTCGTTCGCAAGTTGTCCAAATCTTCAAGCGCGCTGTCAGGCAAGACGTTTATGTTGTCCATTTCCATTGAAGCAAAGTTCCTTGGCTTTTGCTGTGTCCGGCCGCCCGCAGACATCTCGACGGATGAGACAGATGCGAAGGTCCCAAGGACGTCCTCTTACCAGCCGCTGCAAGCACGCACTATCTCAGATGCTGGCCTATTCTTGCAGCGAGATTGTTAGTTTTTGCCGATGATACTGTCAACCCCAGGTCGCAGAGGCTGCCTTGTTTTGTTTCTGCAGCTGAGGACAAAGAGCTGGGATACGCCTCCCGGCTTCCACGTCAAGATTCCGTGTCCCCAGATTCAAGGCAAAAATTGGTAAAGCAAAGTGCACTGGTTATGTCCTGTTGAGCCCCGGTTTCCTAAGGAGCTGAAGAAGATCCGCCCCATCCAAGACGTAAGGGAGGGGCGGGCTGGGATGAAGGATGGCACGTATCTCTACGTTGTCATGCTCGGTGACCAGGACAACATTCGGCTGACTCTCGGCTTGATCAAGCCAAGGCTAGGCTTTGCAACGTTCATCTCCTTTGATGTTTCATATTTGATGAGAGACGCCAGGATACATGAAGACTACTTGGTGCATGAGGGCGTCCTCGCTGGTCACACCTCGCTAGTTCAAAGAGACATGGCAGCAGTTGCTATGGCTTGTCGAAGGTAGACTTGCAGCAGCTGCTGCATTATTCTTCAGCCCAAGCACAGACAACTTGGGGTATCAACTTTTCGAGATCAAGTGTTCCAGGAAACGAGTTCACGCGCGGATGGGCCAAGCAATGGGACAGCAACGACCCGCAATTCCGGCACACAGTACTTTATGCCGGCGAGCTAGAGTATGCGGAAGGAGACTCCTGGCCCAACCAGCCACATAGCAAAGGGATAGGGGCAATGGTGCTGGGCATGCGCTTGACTATGAGCTGTGGTGACTATGGTAATCACTGTGTTGTCTCTATCATGATGGAATCATTAGGAAGGTGTTCTCACGTGGAATAACCACTCGGGGCACTACACTCCGGCAGCGGCAGACCATGTTCGCGTGCACCTTGATCCAGCAACTTTCGTGGTGGCTTGGAATGCATGCTGTTACAAGCAGACTAGCTTGCGAAGAGCTTGTGGGAGCCGATCACCCAAGGCATTTGATGAATAAGTGCCAGTATGCCATCAACCGCATTGACCGGGCAAAAAACATGCGGCATGCGAAAGCTGCGCCAACTGCACAGACCGCGATCTGTACAGCAAAAAGCATTAGCTGCAACGGTCTCAGCGATCAGGTGCTGATCCTGCAAGGTGCTAGTCGCACCTTTGAACAACTCGCTTCCCACTACTCTTGCCAGTGAGGCTGGACGTCATGCTTCGGGCGGCTTGTGCATGTCGGGCGGCCACGAAGCTGCAGGCAAATGGGCTTTCAAAGCAAGATTATGATCCCCGGATGCTTTGTAGCTGCGCATAAGCTCCACTCTCAGCCCAAAAAGGTGCAACAACCGCTGCGTTGATCAGTCACTACTTAGCAAATCGGTGGTCGGGAGGGGTTGCCAGATCGGTCGCGCAAGGCTGCTGCTGTCAAGAAGCTGCTCGATGAAGCGATGCTCTCAATTTAACGCAAGTTGGAATGGGATGCAGCCAAGCACGGTCTTAATGCGTCTAACTGAATCATGCAGAGCAAGCCATGCTTACTTTCAGGCGGTACATCTACTGGCTCTGGCAGCAGACTGCTTTGCACAGCCCTGAGTGTTATTGTGAAGCAGGGTGCGCAGTATAGCTTGCATCCAGCCAGTTGCTCCCATGCTGCGGCTGCAAGTTTGTGTGCTCGGCAGCGATAAGTCCCGATGAGGACAACACTCCGTGGACTTCTCGGACACGCTCGGCGCCCTGTGCTATGGCCAACTAGTTGGCTTTAAACCCTGCAGCAGCACATTCAAGCTCTTGCCGTTGATGATTTGCCACCATTTGTAGGAGTTGTTTAGTGGGAACACCTCTCCCGGCCTCTCCCTGTGTGTGAAGGACCGGACGAAGAGAGCGGCCTTTTCCCATTTTCCCTCCGAGCTGGAGAGGCGATGTAGAAAGAAATGATCCCCGAACTCGGCTCGATGGACCCTGACATGTACGCAGACACAGCAGCCTGGTTTTGATTAAGCTGCCATCGCTTGAATCGCTTCGGAGGTTTTCTACAACTGGGCCCGAAGTCCTTCAGAAGAGGACATCTCGCAGGGGAGCTGAGAAATTGTGAAGCTAGCTGCAGGCAACCGAGGGTCCCAAGTACAGGTTTGAGATTCAGAGGTCTTGGCAGTGGGAAGTTCTCTCACAATCGACGAGCAGTGGAGGCTGGCCGGTCCAGCTTTGCGAGCCATCTCTTTAGGCTCATTTGCCAGCACGCGCTAGAGCATCCAGGGCTCAGCTGAATGCTTTTGCGGTGCTCTTTGCTGGATGTTCTGAGTGACATGAGAACTTTCGAGTGCCAAGTGAAGGATATGATACATGTTGATAAAAAAGTACGTACCAGGTTTCAGTCAGTCCGCAAAGAAGTGAAGCATGAATGCATGAGGTTGTGGCAGCCCAGGACTGGCAGCACATGCCATCACAGATGAAATAGCTCCAGTGCATAAAGCGTCGTTACAAGTTTGCTGCTCCTGCTCCTGCTCCTGCCGCTGCTGCTGCTGCCGCTGGGGCTGCTCCTGCTGCTTGAGCAGGCTTTGATCGTCCTCTTTGCCAAGCTGATCTGGGCACGGCATGCGCGTGATGCTAAGTAGTCGTGCTTCGTCACTGGATGGAGATCTGCGTGTGAAGCCTCTGGCCAATTCAGCTATCCTCAGGTGGAGCTGCAGAGTGGCAGGATTCATTGTTTGGGAGGCCCCAGCTGAGATCCTTTGAGCCTTGATTCCTGCCTTGGTATGACTTTGCACAGGAAAGGGCGGAGCACCCAGTGTCCCCGCGTACTTGCTACAGTGTTGGAAGCCCATTTTGACACTTCTGGTTAACTTCCCGTTTTGCAGCTAGTGGCGCATCAGCTTAGGTGGCGATAGCTATGGCGAATGGCCAGCAGCTCAACACATGCAAATCTCTAAAACCGGGACATGCCCCAAAATATTCATGTGGGACTTGTTGTTCCAGGAGGCACATCACGGTGAGGACAACGCTGCCACGAACGACTACTCCAAGAGGCCATGTGGTGACAGTCGTTATGAAGACTGCTCAGCAACCAAATGCACAGATAAGCTGTCATCCTGTTTTACAACTCGTGTTGCAAGTCTCTGATGGCGTCCTTGAGGTGCGGCATGGATCCTTCATGTCCTTTGCTGAGCATTAGCTTTTCCTTCCACGCCTTGCATTCGGGCCGTCATTGCCTCTATTTGCCGGCTCTGCTGCGTGATGTTCCAAGATGTCTGGACTCGCAACATCAAACCTTTGGCATTTGCTGCCGGCGGCTTGGACATGGCTCTAAGCAGTTGGCTGCGCACCGACTCAAGTTTCTTTAAGTCTTGAGCTCTGGTTGCGGGCAACAGTATATTTGAAAAGCACCTCAGGCACATCCTGACCCCTGCGCTTGCAGACGGCAATGCGTGGCGGGCTTAGGCGCTTGTGAAGCAATGAATGCTATGGCTGCCTGCATCAAATCTCATTCTTTTTTTTGCACTGAAGGTTAATAGTTTCGAATATACTGTACCGATCAAAATCTCAGCTGCGCTGCAATGAAACCTCACCCGCGAATTCAGGTGCTTGGCTGCCAAGGACCAATCATTTCTGAATGCGTTCCTAGTGTGCCAGGCTTATCTCTGTATCACAGCAAGCCGTGGTCGTGCAGTGCAAATCAGGATTGCGATCTTTTGGTGGATGGTCTCGACCCTGGTAGCACCTTCTGGTTGCCAACTGGTTTGAGCTAGGCGGTGCTTACTAAGCCAGGGAACCTTGGGCATTAGGAATTCCCAGGTGGGTATTGATCACCTCCAAAATCTTCCAAGCTACCTTTGCTCAGGTTTGCACCTGGACAGCGCATGGACTGAGGGAATGCATGACTCTCAGACTTTGGTCCAGCACGGTTGGAGCACGGCGGTCTTTCTGCGCATGGCTTTGGTGTTGCCCGAGCCAGGTGCCTGAGATCCTAGGGTTGGCTATGAGAGTCGAACGCTTGCATGACATTCACCACATTTCCTAGGAACCAAGGGACAGGCAGGCGTAGTTTTGCGTATGCCGGGACATGCTCATGCAGCAGGCCAAGGCATAGGAAGGAAGTTTTTGGACAAACTGTGTGTCTCTTTGGCGTTTTCCTCTCAGTGTCACCTGCGAAAGGCTATCATGTGGGTAAGAGGGCGGATAGTATTTCTAATTTCTCAGATGCTTGCGGTGCCCCCCTGCCTGAGGGCTCAAATTTGTAGAGACATGGAACAGGCTCCAGAGTTGTGTAAATAACTTCGAGAAACCTCGCCAATCTGGCCATCAGACGACAGCCATGGCAGAGGATGATGTGCCGCAAGGAGTCATTGCACCTAGGTGGCACTGATGCTGATGATCTATGTGTAGTCTCGCCCCTCTGTTTGAACAGCAAGTTACAAATGTGCAATGGAGCTTCAAGAAGGAGCGAGCTGTCGCTTGCGGCCCTGGTAACTAACCCCAAAGCAGAGTTCGAGACAACTGCCTGCTTCAATCGGCAATGGGACTTTGCGATTCGTCCGGGCACATGGAAGCTGAGGTTTGTGTCCGGCTTCGGCCAATGTTCGTCAAGAGGTGCAGGGCTTGCCACATAGGACCTCGTAAAGGATAGTTGACGCTTCAGCTCGGCCAAGCAGTGCAGACGAAACAACGAAATGGTCACATTAGAACAATTTGCAAAATAAGTTGAAAAGGGTGAATTCTCTGCCAATTGCTTGCTCAGCTAATTTCCTAACAGGCCGGATGGCACTCCTGGGCGAGAAGCTACATGCCAGCGTGCTGCTCGCCTTTGGTGAGGCTTCATTCAGTACGAGTGACTGCTAGTGGAACAACTAAAAGATTTTGAGTGAAAAGACACCCCAGATTCCCGTGCTCCTATTGCAAATCTGAGGTGGTGGAGATGGAAGGGCAGGCCGAGTCAGGCTGCGGATGTTCGGTGACGAAAATCTACGATCCAAATGCTCCACGGCCAGCAAACTGCTTTCCGCTGACTGGGCTGCGTATACTACAGTCGGACTGACTGTACAGGTTTAGGGCTTAGGGTTTAGGGTGGGAATGAAGGAATTTAAAAGAAAAAGGAAACTACTATAATTTGAGTCTTGCAGCGATTGCGATGCAGAACCAGGATCTAGCAGCCTTTGAACGACTTCAGCTTTGGCCGCTCTTCCTTTCCCAGCCTTCCAATGGATGAAGATTCGGAGGAATCTGTTCCAAGGCCCGAAACCAAAGATGCCGGATTTGTGCTGCAAGAGGTTTCACAAGACATGACCCAGAAACACAAGAAGCATACTGGACATGGATAAACACAAGAACTGCATGGAGACTTTCCTCAGTTTCATTGAGTTATTATACAACATTTTTCACATCCATAATATACAAAATATTGTATAGCAAATTTCTGCAGTTTCCCTAAGCCTAGGGGCCTAGGACATGTCGGCGCCACCAAAATCTTACGCCTTCGATCGGAGCTGGTGGAGCTGTGACGGTTCCACGGAGGATCGTCTGGTTTTGATTCCGAACATGGCAAACGTATGTACTACCTATATACATGTATATACTGTCTATATACATATACACAGATATATAGTTAGGAAGATCTCTCAATGCTTGTGCAGCAGGCGTTACCTTCAGAGGGTTAGTTCTCCAGCTCTATGCCCAGCTTTGTTCGTACAGGATCCGGAGCGACCGGGCTTCAGCAACCCGGTGCTCAAATCGTAGGAATGCAGGTCTCTGTCTGTCTGGACCCAGGCGTTTGTAACAAGTGATGTCCATCTTTTCAGAACATGCTTTGCAAATAGTTGCAGCATCTCCTCTTCGTAGTCTAGACATGCCTGCAACTCAGGAATACCTGATGGTCCGAACTCCAAATATGCTGCATGTCTGCATTGCGCTCTCTGACTGGAGCTATGTCTGTTGAGGATTTGCAGCGACCTGCTCACATAAATGTTGGGTTGTGGCAGTGTGAGGTCGACCAGGATATGGTCTGGAACGATATCGGTCAGCTAGTAATGAAAAACGCACTCCGCGGCTACAACTGCACGGTGTCCCCTGCCTGATATACTAGCACATCTGCAAGAGCACGTGAGGATGTTGGCAGCTCGAAATAGCATCGCTGAGCTTTTGCTTGGATGCAGGTTCGCTTATGGACAATCTGGCTGTGGCAAGTCGTATTCCGTGGTGGGCGATCCCCCGAATCTGGGGATCATCCCGAGGACGGTCAAGGCGGTATTCGAGGTCGTAGACGGCAACACCGACCCAGATGTTAGATACGCTGTGCCATGGCTCAAATTTGCTAAATTTCGGCTGCTGCCAGAAAGAAGGACTTCCACTGTCAGAAGGCAGGTCTGCGTCGCTGCAGGGACGGAAGTGCGCCAACCTAGAAACTTGAGGAAACGGGAGTCTTCTCAAATTGGACGCATGCCTGAGCGTACCGACCAACTCTCGAGGTAGTTTTTGAGTTGCGGCTACGGCCATGGACTCGCGTGTTCACGTCTGCGCTTAGGTGGAGATTGCTATGCTCGAAGTTTACATGGATGAAGTCTATGACCTGCTAGAACCTCGGAAGAAAGAGCGGCAAAAGCTGAATGTTTTCAACAACAAGGGGGAGGCTGGTCATGGTGTTTGTTATCCTCTGCCTTCATCTTGGAGCTGGATCATCCTGCGTTGGCAGGTCTTCATTTACGATCCAAAGGATCGCAAGAACATGGATAAGATTTGGAGGGCATGCGGCAACCACGAGAAGGCATCCACAAGTCCAATTGTCCTTCCTGCGCGTTGGGATGATGTAGATGTAGGCTTTTCTCAATTTGAGACTTCTTTGATGCTGGCAGGCGGAATCATTTCGAAAGATGGGCGATGCGAACCGTTCTATTCGAGCCTCGGTTGCCCCAATCAGGCTGCAATGCTGAAGCCAGTGCATGCAGTGCTGAAGCTCAGGTGCCACTGGGATGAATCCAGAGTCATCTCGAGGGCACACCCTCTTCATCGTCCGCTTTAGGAAGGAGGCCAGGTTGGTAAAGGTCGGGTAGAGATGGGCTACGCGTCATGGGTGCTTCTCAGATTTTCTCCTGGGCCTTCGTATGCGCAGTTGCCCCAAGCATTTGCTTCCTTGGCCTTTGCTAGCAGGTGAAGCGAGGTGGCTGGGTGGAAGAATTTCGTTCCAAGCTTTGCTTGGTTGATCTGGCTGGCAGCGAAAGAGCACACGACACAGGCCGCGTCCAAGAAAGGGCTGTTGGCAACCGTTCGATTTGTTGCAGCTAGTCGAAGGGCCCTGTTCAGCATAGACAGCTTGGGGCGCAAAGTGCTTGGCTAGCTTTTCCTTTCTTTGCCGTCCAACTACCATGCTTTGGGAGCGAAGTCCTTCAGGCCTAACTGGAGTCGGCCTCGAGGAGGGCATCGCGATCAATCAGTCTTTGTCAGCCCTTGGGCAATGCTGCTGGGCAATCTAGATTGACAGTCCATCGACAGCTTAAGTCAGGCACTGACAGGGCATTGTGAAGACCGTGGCTTTTTTCAAGCCAAGGCTTGGTGCAGCTTTGCAAAGGTGAGCGAGCCACTTGCTAGCAGATGTACGTCAGCTGACGTTGCAGAATTTCCGCAGGGAGCATTGTTTGTACAATGCGAGGTCAACTACACTGACAAGCTCACCCGACTACTGTCTGAGAGCTTGGGTGGCAATGCTGTTACTGTCCTGACCCTGGCTTCTTCAGCTTCCATGGCCAATCAAATTACTTGTAGCTTCCAATGGCTCTGTTGTGGGCTTTAGAGGTGATGATTGCAGCCCTATCTCCAGCCGACATAAACTACAACGACACGCTGTCGACGCCCTTTGGCTTGCAAGCCTTTTTGGCATCATCTACAGAATCTGGTCTCCTGCCAAAGGTTGCGATTCGCTGACAATGCCAAGAAGATGCCAGTCAAGGCACAGCGATGCAAAGACTTAAGCGGTAGCACTCAGAGACTCAGAGATGCATTGCTTGTAGTCTCCAATATTTCCAAATCACGAAGAACCCTATACCCGGCTTTGCTCCCCCACGCTGCGGTAGTTGCTGGAAGGTCAAGAAGCAGCTGGACCCAACCGCTGAACTCATCAAGCAGCTTCAGGAAGAAAATGCCAAACTCCAGGTGTTCGATCATGCCTCTCAGTAGGTATGTGCCAAGATCAGGTCCCTGTATGTCCTCCATCGCATACAAGGACCCTCAAGTCGGCATCACGATCTTGGCATATACTTAAGTTCGCCTTGGCCCATAGTAGTTTATCTGCGTTTCGCTTTGGCGCCGCTGGCCAGGCGCAGCTTGCATCAATGGGAAGTGAGGAGATTGAGAAAGAGCGTCGCGAGTGGGAGGAGAAGCTGGCATTTGGGTCGCATTTCGATCTCCACCGCACAATACCTTGGGATACGGTTGCCTTGTGCCGTACATGATGCGAGTGCACTCGACATGAACACTGCTGTTCAGATGCAGGCGTTGTTTGTTGTATCCAAGCCTCAGTCCATCCAAGGCAGCAGCAGACAAAAAGGCAGGTCAGACTGATGGTCGCAGACCGATGATGGTTGAGATGTATCGTGGTGCATGTTCAGAATGGTGCTGTAATTGCCATGCTCGTGAATTAGGCGGGCATCCGTTGTGCAGGTGTCAGACTCGCAGAAACAGTTGGAGGAGATGAAGGTTCGCTGAGTGACTGCTAGCCCCAAGGATGGTGCGCTAGACCGTAGGACAGGTACAGCCTATAGAAGGATGTTGGTTGCTAACGCACCTCAATGCAGGCTAATGCCGAGTCTGATGTACGAGTACGTCTTGCCCGTGCAGCACTCTCAGATTCTCAGCATAGCAGACGGTCCTGATGTCTTCCGTCGGAAGA